GCTCGCGCGGCCGCCGCGCTCGGCGCGCCCCCGGGACCCCCTCCCGCCAGCCGCCTCGGCCGCCTGCGGCGCTGGCCCACGCGCGGTCACACACCGAGCCACGCCACTCGCCGGGCCAGAGGTAGCGTCACACACAGCCACGCACTCTCACGGGGTCACACACTCCCACACTGTCACACACACACACACACACACACACGCACACACACGGGGTCACATACAGCGTCGCAAACATTTACCCACAGCCACACACTCACACGGTCGCGACCCCCCCCCCCCCACCCACGGGGACACACAGAGCCAAACATTCAAACTCACACGCAGTCACACGCTCACATGGGGTCCCACTCTGGCACAGTCCCCGACAGCATCACACATAGTGACACGCTCAAATAGTGCCACCACCCACACCATGTCACACACAAGCACGCATATGCCATGCACTGTCGCACACTCCCATGGGGTCACAAAGAGTATCATCTGCTCACGGGTCACGCACAGCTTCACAATCACACAGTATCACACACTTTTTTACACACTCAAACTTGTTACACCTGTCACACATCTTGCAGGGTCATACACTCATACATCATACAGTCCCAAGAGGTCACAAACAGCATCACAACAGTTAACACCCACAGCCACACACTCGAATAAGGTCACAGTGACACATCCTTACATGTCACATGTGGTGTCATACACTCCCATAAAACACATCTCACACGTGTCCCACACCACATCCCCCAGCTTCATGGATGCATGCAGCATCACAGGCCGACACAGTGTCATCCACAGTGGCACCACAAGGTCCCAAAAGAACAGCATCAATGTTTGCCACGTGTCTCACAGAGTCTCATACTGCAACATAGTGCTACACAGAGGATGGCGCCTGGTGTCATCCACAATTTTGCTCTCCCTTGGGGCTACTCAGTCACACATAGTCACATGGGCACATATACACACAGTGTCCCACCCTCCCTCATTTTCTCCCCTTGCAGCTTCTGAAAGGTCTTGGGGCACAGCGTGGGTCCCAGGTCAGCCTTAGGCCTTAGGAGAGGGGGCGTGAGCTAGGAGAGGTCGGTGGGCGTGGCCCGAGCTCACCCCGCCCCCGACTAGAGCGCAGAGGCGGGGCACCGGGTCCACCCACGTTCCTCCCAGTGGTCCAGATGCGGCCACGCCTCCCAGTCTAAGTGGCAGGCGGAGGGGGCGGTGCTGGACGCCAGGTGGAGGCGAGCAGACTGCTGCCGCTCCCACCGCGTTCTTCCTGGCTAGAGGCGTGGCCTGTTTGGCCCCGCCCCTCGGCCTGAGCCTGGGGCCCAGAGGCAGGCTGAGGCGTGGCCTTCGGTGCCAGCCCCGCCCTGTCCCTCCCGCCGGAGAAGGACGAGAGGGAGGCCCAGCAGCCAGCCAGTTCCCGCGCGTCGTGCAACTCCGTGGCCTCACACCCCTACGAGTTCGCAGAATGGAGGTCAAGAAGATTGCCATCTTCGGTGCCACGGGCAGGACCGGGCTCACCACCCTGGCGCAGGCGGTGGAAGCAGGCATGAGCTGGGGTGGGCGGGGGATGTCACGGGGTGTATATGCCCCTCATTAGGAAGGGGCATCCTGGGACCCGGGCAAGGCTGGTTGGGCCATCCGTGCTTTGATTTGTGACCTAGAGGCAAAGCAGGTGGCGACGGGGACAGAAATGGGGGACGCCGTGAGATCCAATTTTATGAGTCTGAGGACTAGGAATTGGCCCTGGGAGGCAGAGGAATTCCAGTGACAGGTTTAAATACAGTGCTCTTATGAAATGCTGTAGTTGTAGTTGTGGTTGTTAGCACACCCAGCGAGGGCTTACTAAGCCAGGCAACGGCTTGCCTCCCAGCCCCTACCGCTCTTCCCCCTGTTAAATCCTCCCAGCGCTCATGTGCGGGGGTACTAGTATCACCTCACTTCACAGATGAGAAAACTAAGGCCCAGAGAGTGACTTGCCTGATATCAGACAGGTGGAAAGTGGTGGTGCTGGGATTTGAACCCGGCCTGTGCTCTTAACTGCCAAAAGTGCACTTGCTCGTGGCCTGGGCACCAAGGCTGGAAGTTTAGAAGGCTGGGTGGCCAGTTGCTGTGAGCACGTTATGGAAAGAGGATAATGGAGACGTAGGTGAAGACTTGGGCGCTGGTCCTGGGAAAGTGGGTAAGAGTTGCAAATTCAGTTGCTCTGAGAAAAGGGATAACGTCCTGCGGCCTCCCCTGCCTCCACCATCCAGACTTCACCAACCCCCAGGGGTGCCTGGGACTTCCAGATATAAGGCCCCACCCTCACTGGCCTCAGTGACGCTGAAGATATTGACTATCTGGGTGCCCCAAAAGGGTGGAGGCTGTCAGGATCCCACTCTCTATTGTTTCCTAGCCCAGCCCTTGGAGGGACTTGGCCTGACAGTTCCTCATCAGGCCCACTGCTCTCTCCCTCTCCAGGAAGACTCGGTGAGGCTCTTGATTTGTGGGGAGGGGAGAAAGAAATTTGCTGATAACTATTTCTCGGGGAGGAAGTAAGAGGGAGAAGTTGAAAGGTGCTGAGTCACCCTGAGGATCCAGATTCCCACGTTACTACCTTACCCTTTATCCTGAATTCTGCTGAATTCCACTTGTCCACCCTGCTGGTCACAACTGGGACTGCACCCCCAGGGAATTGAGAGCTGAGGCCCAGGGGAGGCCCTGCCATCTCACGGTGGCTCTGACAAGTCTCTTCAGAGCCACATTGAGCCTCTGAGCCTCACTGTCTCCAGCAGGAAAAGAGGAGCCTGATTGAGCTGGCTTTTTATTTACCTCACTGATTCTATAGGCTGGTGCCAGCCTGCCCGCCTTCACATCCCAGCTCTGCCACTCACCACCTACATCGACAAACGCCTTGTCGTCTGTGTACCTAGACAGCTGGAAAGTGGGGATACAACTAGTAGCACTTGGGTGCCTGGCTGGCACAGTCAGTAGAGCGTGCAACTCCTGATCTCAGGGTCGTGAGTTCAAACCCCACACCGGACATAGAGATTACTTAAAAAAAATTTTTTTTTTAATTTTTTAAATGTTTATTTTTGAAAGAGAGAGAGAGAGCAGGGGAGGGGCAGAGAGAGAGGGAGACACAGAATCTGAAGCAGGCTCCAGGCTCTGAGCTGTCAGCACAGAGCCTGACTCGGGGCTCAAACCCACGAACCCCAGCCAAAGTCGGATTCTTAAACGACTGAGCCATCCAGGCACCCGCCCCCCCCCAACCAAAAAGTTTTCTTAGAAGAAAACTAGTATTGCTTGCTCTGGGGTGCTTGCAATGATTAAATAAGATAATATGTGGAAAATGCTAAGAACCATGACCAATACGTAGTTGGTAATTCAATAAGCCCTCTTTTGGCTGAGTGAACTCATAGCTGTGTGAACTTGGCTCAGTTAACCTAAAATGGTCTCAATTCCCCCATCTTCAAAATGGGCATATAATAATATCTTTTAGGATTGCTGCAATCTGGTGCTTTTCAAACTGTGGGTCATAGTTCTGAAATACATTTAATTGGTTATAAAGGTGTCAGTATATCATAGGTTAAATATTGGTTTTATGAAACTTCTTTCAATTATATATGCATGGAGTTGTATATACTGGGTTAGGCATGGAAATCTGTTTTGGACTGAGGGTTGAGATCAAAAATTTTAAAAGGGGCATGATCTCTGCAACTTACTCTCAAATAGTTAGGAAAAAACTTTATGCATATGTTGTATGTGTGTGTGTGTGTGTGTGTGTGTGTTTATATACACACATATATAATTCCATATGTTATATATTATACACACAGATAATATATAAGATAAAGCAAAAGCAAACATGAGAAATGACGTCTTCCAACTTTTATATACAATAGAATTTCTTTTTTAAAAAATTTATTTCAAAATAAAAAATTAAGAGAAAAATATAAAGTTAGGGATGTGTAAAAAAAAAAAAAAAGTGTGGAAGTACCTTACCAATGCTCTTGTTTTTTCTAAAGGGTAAAATATGTGAATTCTTTTTTTTTTTAATGTTTATTTGCTTTTGAGAGAGAGCAAGCATGAGCAGGGGAAGGGCAGAGAGAGGGAGAACAGAGGATCCAAAGCAGGCTCTACACTGACAGCAGAGCTGTTCGTGGGGCTCAAAACCACGAACAGTGAGATCATGACCAGAGCCAAAGTCAGACGCCCAACCGACTGAGCCACCCAGGCGCCCCCCAAATCTGTGAATTCTAAAACAATGCTGTTTGATATGGTAGCTACTAGTTACATGTGGCTATTGAAATTTACATTTAAATATGGGTTGTTTAAAAAAATTTTTTTTG